ATTCTGCATCGAATCTGCACGAAATGCAGGTCGGCACCGGCTCGGCAAGCGAGCGAAAGCGCCAGCGTGGTGAGCTGCCCCGAGCGCATAGCTCGAGCGGGGATCGGCTGGTTCGTTAAAGTCGGAAGAGGCCGCGCGCTACGGCGCCCTGATCTTGAGCCAAAATGGCTACGGGGGATTCTTAACGATTCCTTGGGATCCAAGAACATCCCACGACAACTCCTGGCGATTACAGCGGTACCCTTGGGGAGGCCAAGCGGGAATCCCTGAAGAAGCTTCCATAGGAACCCACAAGGCTTCAATAGCAACCCACGAGGAAACTCTGGGAACCCATGCAGAACCCGCAAGGCCGTCTGAAAGTTCATGAGGAGTCCTACGGGGTCCCTCAGGATCGGCTCGGGATCCCTGATGGGGGCCCGAGCACACATTCAATGTCTTGAGGTACCCCTAACAATTCCCCAGGGGGTCCTGCAAATTCCAAGTTAGGATCCCAGAAGACCTCTGGTCTGGAAATTCCTAACCGGTCTTTGATAGCCTGATAGCTTCTTCGGGATCTTCTGGACCGCCCCCCCCGGGGGCACGAAAGCTCCTTGCTGGCACTTGCGGCACACCAGGAAGGATCCGTAATGATTATTTGGGAGATTCTCAGGCCCCCTCGGGCGCAGCATAATATTCCCTCACAGGTCTTTGGGGATCCCATGGCGAGGGGGGCTAGGCATCTCCACAGGCATCGTTGAGCACTCGACAGCAGCTCGTCGGGGTACACATGGGGGGGCCCTCGGGACTCCCCATGTGATCCCTGCTCATGCCACTGCGTCGATGGCGATTGAGAACTGACTGCAAGGTCTTGCGGAATCAAGCTGGCACCCCAAACGTACACTCGGGGCCCCTGGAGATCACGAGAGCCCCTGATTTCCGAGAGACCTATGCTGAATCATTGAGAATCCCGCGGGCCCCCCAAGGGATCCTAGAGGACGTCTTTGGGATCCCTTCAGATCCCCGAGGTTAGCGGCCCCCTGAAGACTCCCAAAACATCAATTGCACAGGTGTTCCCGAGTGTTTTTTCAGGGCCCCTGGTTCCTGAAGATTCCTGTATGTTCTCGCGGGGGTCACATGATTCCATAGGCGCCGAAGATTCCTGGGGACCCCCTGCGTCTACAGTCTTGAGCCGCTTTGACATACGCGCGATTTCTGAAGGCCCCTCGGGGTCTCTAACGATTCCTGGAGGGTCACAATGATTTGTTGAAGGATTTCGGAGCACTTGCGATCAACCCATAAGAACTCCTGAAAGACACCCGAAGCTTCCAACGTGACCCCTTGCGATCGCTGAGAGGATAACAACAATTCCGTGGACGTGCTCTTAGAGAGGCCCTTCATCCATGTAACTAACGATCGCTCTGTGAAAGACAGGTATGCGCCGTGCCAGTGCGAGAGCCCTATGTTGAAAACGGTCCGCCCTGCATCCGTATGGCTGCTGATATGCAAGACAAATATGCGCGGCGCCAAGGCGAGAGCGCCACTCTAAGAAGAACAAAAAACATCCGTTGTCCAACCGTGGAGCCGCTGGACCTCCCGAGCTTCCATATCGCAAGCGGCGCGCAAGTCCCAAGCGACACGACCCGTCGGGTGGCGCGGTGGGGAGGCATCGTGCACTAGGAAGGGGGACGGAGGAGCACCAGGAGGAGAAGGAGGGGCAGCGCGGGCGCCCTCCTCCCTCCTCTCCCGCCCCGCCCTGTCCGAATCCCCCCCGCCGCGGCCGCCGACGAGGCGCCGCCGAGCGGCCGCCGACGTGCCGCCGAGAGGGCGCCGAGAGGCCGCCGAGGCGCCGCCGCGCCGAGAGGCGGCCGTGGGGTCGCCGAGGTGGTGCTGCCGAGAGGCTCCTCTCCGCCTCCGCTGCCTCCGTGGGCGCCCGCGCCCTTTCGCCGCCGCGCCCTTCCTCCGCCGAGGAGGCCGCCGAGGAGGCCGCCGTCGCGAGCGTGCCGTCGCGAGGTTCCGCCGCGAGGGGCCGCCGCGGGGGGCCGCCGCGAGAGGGGCCGCCGCGAGAGGTCCTGCGCCACCGCCACGCCCGTGATGTCCCGGTCGGGGCGGACGCCCGTGCCGGCGTGCTGCAGGGCGCCCCCGGAGCGGGCGACGGCCTGGCTGGCGGCGCCCGCGGCGGGCGCGCCCGCTCGGCGGCCGCTCGGCGGCTCTGGCCATCGGCGGCGCGCAGGCGGCGCGCCGGCGGCGCTCGGCGGCCGCTCGGCGGTCGCTCGGCGGCGGTCCGGCGGCGGCCTGGCGGCGGCGCCCGGCGACATCTCAGCGGCCTCTCGGCGGTGCGGCGGCGGCCGTCGGCGGCGGCGAGGCCGACGAGGCCGAGGGCGACGGGGCCGAGGGCGAGGACAAGGGAGGCCGAGGACGAGGACGAGAATGAAGGCGATCACGACGAGGGCCAACCCCCGACTCCAGATGATCTCGTGCTTGCTGAAGGGGGAGGGGGTCACAACCCACCCAGACAGGCAATCTCATACCCCCCCCACCCCAGACAAGCCATGAAAGGGCGGCCCCTTGCCCAGACCCAGTGGAACGCTCCAAGACAGCTCAAATCCGACCACCTCCCAAATCAGAACACCCCCCGCATTGTGAAATCGGGAGTTCATATGGCCCGCAACCGCGGCGACCTGACGACGGCATTCCAGACCCAGACATGCGACTTCCTGATTTTTTAACACGGGGTCCCTGGAAGCCCCGACCCTTTCTTTCCCCCAATACCAGTTTTTCGTCCTGCGTCGTTTTTTGACGGCCACGAGGCCCGGCGAGAGCCCCCCGAGGCCAAAAACGGCCGAAAACCTCCCGTCCTGATGTTCTTCACGACGCGATCGTGTCTGGGGATGCCACCCGGAGCGCCATGGCCTCTCCCCGTCTCCGGCCGGACTGCTGTCTTCAGGCAGGCCTGGGGGGTGGGGGGGCGCGGCCACGCGCAGGGCGTGACCCCTGTAGGCCCCAGGCAGGAGTGGCCTCCGGTGCGCGGCCTTCGAGGGCCTATAGTTAGCACGAAGTGGGGACGAGTATACAGTACACAGTCGGGCAAGGATGCATCAGGAATCTCTCAGATCCTCCTCCTCCTCCTCCTCCTCCTCATCCCTCCTCCTCCTCCCTCCTCCTCCTCCTCCTCCTCCTCCTCCTCCTCCTCCCCCTCCTCCTCCTCTCCCTCCTCCTCCTCCTCCCTCCTCCTCCTCCTCCTCCCTCCTCCCTCCGTCCCTCCTCCCCTCCTCCTCCCCCTCCTCCTCCCTCCTCCTCCTCCCTCCTCCCTCCTCCTCCTCCTCCTCCCTCCTCCTCCTCCACTGAAATCAGGTGGCTCTGGAGGATGTCTCGGGCGCCGCAGCCTTCGGAGCGTTCCGGAACGCTCCGAGAGCGTTCCCGGAACGCGCTGGTACGAAGTTAACCCTCGTCCCCTAACCCCGTCCGAAGGACTGCACGGCTCGGCCGGCGGCCTGGGCCGCAGGGGTGATCTTACATGCGACGTCCTGGTTTTTTCAGTGCGCGGTTCCTGGAAGTCCCGACCCTTTCTCCAGGACCAGCTTTTCGTCCTGAATCGTTCTTGAAAGTCCCGAGGCTCGGCGAGGGCCCCCCGAGGCCGAAAACCGCGCAAAACCTCCCGCCCCGATGTTTAGACGACGCGATTCTGTCCGGGAGCCTCTCCAGGCCTTTCGCCGGGGTCGGAGCATCGCGCCGCATCGCCGAGGCTTCGGCCGTCCGAGGGCCGCGGGGGGGCCCCTCCTCGCCGACGCCGTGCTTCTGCGCGTGACGGCCGCCCCGGGTGGAGGGTTTCTCCGAAGGGCTTAGGCGGCCCGTCCTCCTCCTCCTCCTCCTCCTCCTCCTCCTCCTCCTGGAGGAGGAGGAGGAGGAGGAGGAGGAGGAGGAGGACGTCGCCTAAGCCCTTCGGAGAAACCCTCCAGCTCCATGCTGGTGCCAGCCGCACAGGCGGCTCAGACGGTGTGACGAGGCCCCGATCTATCCATAGGATTCGGGCCGGGCGAAAGCGGGGTATAGCAAAGGAGGGTTTGAGAATCAGCTTACGTAGCTAATTTTCCTGGCGCCTCCCGGCGCTGGGAGGCGCCCATGTATCGAGAAACGGGCCCGGCGGCGGGGCCGAAACCAGCTGCATGCAGCAGATTTCGTACCCCCCCTTTCCCTGTCCCCCCCTTCCGTTCGGCCCGAAGGATGATGATCAATCGCCCCATGGCGTCCCGTCAGCTCAGCTGGGATGCCGGCGCTTTCCATATGACGACTGGGATTCTGCACGCAGTCGGCCCGTCCAAAACAGCATACGGGAGGCAGAGGCCGGAGCCTGGCCGGCTGGCAGCCCCCACCGACATGGGACGTCCGGATTAAGGGATCCCTGGAAGTCCAGACCCTTTGCCCAGGGCCGGTTTCTCATCTTGAGTCGTTTTTGATGAACAACCTCCCGTCGTTTTTTCCCTTCACGACACGAGGGGGTCTGGACCCTGAGATCCGCCGTTGCAAAAAAATGCAACATCGCAATAAATCACGACCGCAGCCCCAGACCCCACGATTCTGCCTCATCTTTCCAGCCAAATCGACGTGTGTGAAGGTCCTGGGGCCCTAGAAGTCCTGGGGCCCGGGAAGGAGCGAACACGCCCCTAGTAACCAAACAAATTGCAGCGCCAGGACCTCAGGAGACCCAGACCCCCGGCGTCGTGATTGTTTCCCAACGTCGACCCTCAGAGGTCTGGACCCCCTTCCGCGGGACCGGTTTCTGTCGTCCTGCGCCGTTTTGTCGACGGCCCCGAGGCCCGCCGTGAGGGCCCCGAGGACGGCGGTGAGGGCCCCCCGGAGGCCGAAAACAACAGAAAACCTCCCACTGTGATTTTTGTTCACAGCGCGAGGGGGTCCTCCTCCTCCTCCTCCTCCTCCTCCTCCTCCTCCTCCTCCTCCTCCTCCTCCTCCTCCTCGGCCCCGCAGCGCGCCGGGCCGTGAGAGCCCCGCAGCGGGCGGTAGGCTCACCGGAAGACGCCCTTGCGCGGCGGGGCGGGCCGGTGGTCCCCCGAGGCGGGGGCCGCGCCCTGGTGGTCCCCCGTTTTCCACGCGTGGCCGCCCACCTTGTCGGTGGTCCTGGGCATCCAGCCCTCGGGCGGCCTGTTGTCAGGGGCGATGCCCAGGAGAAGAGAGGGCGGCACGGGCGTAAGCTTTTGGCGCTCCGCGCGGACTTCTTGTATCCGCGCTGGGCCCCCCGGCGGCGCCTCTGGCGCCGCCCCCAGCGCGCTTCGCGCGCCATGGAGGAGGGTCCAGCGCAGACCCAAGAAATCCACGCGGAGCGCCACGAGCTTATGTTTATGCAGCTGTTTCTTCTTCTAATGTCGATTTCTAGCCCGTATCTGGCCTTGATCATCGTCGGGAGGACCCTCTCCAGCGCGTACATGTGGTGGCAAGAGTCTGTGTCGCACCCTGTGTGATACCCCTGCCCGAACATCTTCAGGAAGGTCGGAATTGCGGTCCGCAGCGCGCTATTCTGCAGCAGAGGGTACGCGCGCGACCAATATGTCGAGCCTGCCAGCAAACCGAACTCCTTGACATCTGGGAAGTCGGTGGGCATCTCGCATGGGAAGATGACGCCCCATGCTATCTTCATCCAGTTCTGCATCCGCTGTGGAGGCACCCAGTCTGTCTGCGCCTCGCTGCCCACAAGCTTCGACCGCAGAACCTCCTTCACGTCCGACGGGTACGTCCACGTCCATGCTGGCGGGCCCACTATGCCGAGGTTGGCGTTGCCCTCGAACTGCTGCCAAATTTTTTGGACCTGGCCAGGGCTGCCACACAGGCTGCCGAGCATGGACTTGCGCCACAGGTTCCCCGTCTTGCTGTGCATCTTGAGCACGAGGTCGTACTCCCCGCGCAGCTCCTTGATCTGCTGCATGAACTGACCGATGTCAGCGCCCTGATTCCTCACCAGCTGCACCGCCGCCTGCGACACCGAGCCGCTGTCTTTCATCCTCTGCAGCTCCGCGGCTATGCCGGGAGCCTCCCGCACCACCGCGACGTACACGTCCACCGTGCGCGCCCCCCTTGCCTGCCCCACGTTCGCGATGCAGTCGCGGATCTCGCCCCAGATCGTCTGGTTGAAGACCTGCGCGAAGACGGCGATCCTGTCGGTCCTCTGCAGCGGCGCCTCGGCACCCTCGGGGGCCCGACCGCTCCTCCCCTCGCCGGCCCCCGGGGGCGAGGGGCACTGGCTGCAGTTGTGGCCGCTCGCGTGCCCCAGGCACGGGCGGCGGTCGCCTGCCGGCTGGACGCCGTGGTCCAGGTGGCCGCCAAAGCGGCCTGGCACGTGCGGCATGCGGGGCCGCGCCAGGAGCCCAGTCTCCTCCGGGAGGCCGAGCCTCCCCAAGGGCGTCGAGTCTGTCTGCAGCAAGGCGACGTCATCGCCGAGAGGGGCCCCTGCAAGCGCCACGCGCAGCAAGCCCAAGGCCGCCACGCCCAGCATTGGCGCGGGGTCAGAGTGGAGGGAGGGTACGGTGCAGGATCAGCATGTGCGCGCGAAGGCGCACATGCTCATGTTTCCCGCCAGTGATGACACGGACCTTGAGCCAAAGTGTCTGCAGAAGGCGCAGGAGGAGGATGGAGGAGAACCTAGAGGGAGCGCCACTGCGAGAGGAGCAGTCGGGGTAGGAGGATCGGAAGCAGCGGGCGGAGGAAGAGCTGCGCCAGGGCAACGAACATATAATCACCGATTCCCAAACCGCCGACGTCGTATTTTCTTCACGACGTCGACCCCCAGATGTCTGGACCCCTTCCCTAGGACCGTTTTTTCGTCCTGAGTCGTTGTTTGACGGCCCCGAGGCACGGTAAGGGCGTTCTGAAACGCTCTGGGAAGGCCGCGGCGCCCGAGACATCCTCAAGAGCCGCCAGATCTCAGAGGAGGAGGAGGAGGAGGAGGAGGAGGAGGAGGAGGAGAAGGAGGAGAAGGAGGAGGAGGAGGAGGAGGAGGAGGAGGGAGGAGGAGGAGGAGGAGGAGGAGGAGGAGGAGGAGGAGGAGGATTATCGCCTGGGATGGGTGCAGGCGAGGGGCGGTGCCCTGGGCTGCGAGCTTTGACAGGAAGAGGGGGGGCGGGGGGTCCCACGGCTGCAGCCCGCGCAGGGGCGAGCGGGCCGCGATGGGACGACCCCCGGGGAGGTGGGCAGCCGGCGGCAGCCCCTGCGCCAGCAGCAGGCCCTGGGCAGCCTCACGCCGTCCCAGTCAGGGGGGGGCCACGGCGGGGGGCCGCGATGGGCCAGCGATCTCGGGGGCCTATAGGCCCCCCCTCCGGGCGAGAGCAGCATGGCACACGAGCCTGGCAGGCGAGCCGGAAGGCCTGACCCTTTTGGAACTCCTGTTCTCGAGGTCGCCCTCTGAGGTATCAGGCGGCACCAACGTTCGCGACTGGATGTTGCAAAAGGTCCAGAGGGTTGTTTCCGTTGATGCGGAAAGGAGGGCGGCGAGGAGCAGCAGCAAGAGAAGCGGCAGTACCGATGATCGATTTGTTGCCCGCCGCCGCCGCGCCGCCTCTACATCGGGCAGCGCCGCCAGGACCTGCACAGGGGTGCTTCGAGGGAGCCCGCCGCTGCGGAAGCCCTGCACGAAAGCGGCAGCGACTCTGACCCGAGCCGATCGAGCGACAGGGCTCCAGACGCACGCGGCAAGCGCAGAACGACAGGGCGGGCGATCGCCCCCGACTGGCAACTGCTGCGCCAGTCCTCCGGAGCGGGAAGACGGGGAGACGGAAGTCACAGATGACTTCTGCTGTGCGCCGTGCTGTGGCACTCGCGCCCCTGGGCCCTTGCCCGAGGGCGGTGCTGCGGTCGCGTCGAACCCAAGGGGCGTCGCCCTGGACGAGCGGGGAGGCCCCCCCAGACCCCCCGACGTCGTGATTTTTTCGCAACGTCGACCCCCCAAAGGTCTGGACCCCTTCCCCGGGACCGGTTTTTCATCCTGAGTCGGTTTTTGACAGTCCCGCGGCCCGGTAAGGGCTCCTGGATGCCGAAAATAAAGAAAAACCTCCCGTAGTGTTTTTGTCACAACGCGAGGGGGTCTGGGACCTGAGCAACGAAAACAAGCGGGTCTCACGCCCGACGACATAGCGGCCTTACGCTGCGGCTTGCGCGGGCCAAGCCAGCATGGCACACCGCCTGGACTCACAGAGTTCGCCGACGCGCGGCCTCTCTCGCGGGAAGCTCGCGCGCGAATAGCGGCGCAACCGACCCCGCTCTTGTTTTGCGCCGCACACCTGCCGCCGTCGGGCGGGCGGTGGGCGGCAGGACGGGCCTGGCCCCGAGGCCAAGTTCGAGGGCAATTCACGGGAGCCTCCCATACCACTGTGTCGGCTCTTGCGAATCGACGCTAATCGACGCTAAATTCGGCACTATCGACGCTACGTCGACGCCAACCTGACCGACGCTATCTCATCGACTCCCAGACGCTAATCGACGCTCGTCGACGCGAAAGACAGAAGTGCGAGGGCACACGAGGACACCAAGATCTGCCACCGAAGGCCAAGGGCGCGGGCGGCGAGACGGGGCAGCGCCCAGAGACGGGCCGCCTCTGTGAGATCCTGGCGTCTCCGTGCTTTCGAGCTGGGCGCGCCGTCCTCTCTCTTTGCGGGCCCCGTGGCCCCCCTCACGGGTCGGTCCAGCTCGGCAGGGGACGCAGAGAGCATGGCGGGGTCTCCGGGGCTCCGGGCGTGGTTGCAATCTTGGCGCTGCTGCAATTTGTTCGCACCGTCGGGTCTCAGGGGTGGGCGGGGGGGCACTGCCGCGGCCGGGCGGGGCGGGGCGGAGCTGGCAAGCCAAGGGCCGCGCCCAGAGGCGCGGGCGGTGGGGGCGGGGCCGCTGCCGCGGCCGGGCGGGGCGGTGGCAGGGCGGGGCGGGGCCGGCCAGGGGCCGCGCCCAGAGGCGGGCGGTGGGCGCGGGAGCGCTGCCGCGGCCGGGCGGGCCCGGGCGCGGCGCGCTCAGAGCCGGCTCCGCATGGGCTTCAGGGACTCCTCGAAGGCCGGGGCCACGGGCTCCGAGTTCATCGGGTTCACGTCGCCCTGCGCCGAGGCGTAGAGCGCCTCGTAGACCTGCCCGTCGTGCCGCCCCAGCGCCGAGTTCAGGCTGTGGTCGCTGTGGCCCCATGCGTCCACGAGGGCCACCGCGTCTGGCCGCAGCACTGCCAGCATGCCGCGCGCGGCGCTGCGGAGCATCGTCGCCTGCTGGACGTCCAGGTAGCCACTCTGCAGGAAGTCCCCCATGCCCTCCTGCATCCAGTACAGACTGAACAGGCAGCTGCAGCTCTCCAGCGCCTTGGCCACTGCTGGAGACACGCGGGCGCTCCGAGACAACTCCCCCACGGCGTCGCAGAAGTGGCGCACCAGCACGTGGAAGCAGTGCGCCTCGGAGGCCCGGATGATATCCGGGCCGACCGCGTTCCAGGCGTCCTCGCGCGGCAGCCCGGAGGCCTCGGCCTCCGCGAGCTCACGCTCCACCTCCCGCAGCTGCCACGCGGCGCGCTGCCTGTACGCCTCGCACTGCAGCGCGGGGGACAGGAAGTCCTTGGCGCTCTGCGCGGTGCAGCGCGCCGACACGGCCCCTTCCAGGTCGTGCACGTAGTCCGCGTCGCCCTCCCGGCCGGCGACCGCCGCGGCCGCGGGGCGCTCGTGGGCGCCCTGCAGAGCCGCGGCGCGCGCCCTGGCGAGCTGCTTGAGCAGGCCGCGGGTGGTCTGCTGGGCGATGACGAAGTTCTCGCCCTCGGCGGAGGAGGGCGAGCCGAGACAGCGGAAGCTCGAAGTCGGTCCCCGGACCCCTCGGGTGTCCAAACGCGCCAGTCATCCGAGCAGCGTCCAGCCGTGGCGACGAAGGCTCCCCCCGAAGGCTCACCACCGTTGCCTCCACTGGCCCTCCTCTGACCTCGACCGTGACGTTCTGGATGTAGTTCCCCAGCAGCTCGGGGAGACCGGAGACGGCCAGGTAGCCGTGGCCGCCGCAGGCCTTCCTGCACGCCTCGATGCCGTCCGAGGTGATGCGCGAGCACAGCGCCTTGAGGCCCGAGGAGGCGGTGTGCAGCGCCTCCACGTCGTCGCCGGCGGCCATGCGCTGCATCGCCTGCCCGCTGACGTGGAACGCGTACGAGGTGGCGACCAGGGGCAGCAGGCGGTGCTGCTGCATGGCGTAGTCGAGCACGCACTCCTCGCTGCCATCGCCCCTGGACGTGAAGCCCTGTCGCCGCACCGCGGAGTAGCGGACGGCGATGGTGCAGGCAGCGCTGAGGGCCAGGCCGCTGGACACCACGATCGTCACCCGCACGTGCGTCATGGACGAGTAGGATGCGACCTTCCTGGCAGGCAAGGTGGTGTACTCGCCAGCGGGACTGAGGGTGGCGTACTTCATGGCCATGTTGGTGCGTGGGATGCGCACGCGGTCGAAGCGGCAGAAGCCGTTGTCCTGGTTGTTGTAACCAATCTTGGGGCCGATGTCGCCCACCGTGATGCCAGGAAGCGGCCTGTGCGTTTCCAGGTCACGGATCTGGACCATAAAATTGTGGATGCCGATGTCTCGCCCATCAAGGATGAGGCGCGCGTAGACGATCGCGTGGTTGGCAGTCCTGCCCAGCGCGCCCGGCCACCATTTGGTGCTCGTCGTCGTGGGGCTGTGTATCTCGAACTCGTCGCTCTCCGGCAGGTACGTGGCCGTGGTCTCGAGGGCCCTCACGTTGCTGCCGTGGCCAAGCTCAGTCTGAGCGTAGCAGCCCAGCACCTCCCACGACTCGGCACGCGGAAGCCAGTGCGCCTGCTGCTCCTCAGAAAAAGTCGCTCGTATGTTCGGCAGGAACATCAGATCCTGGAGATCGGTGCCCAGCTGGTCGTGCACCGCGGCACGCACGGACGCCCGCGGCACCTGCAGCTCTCTAGCCAGCTCGATTACGCGGCGCTGCTTCTGCATGCAGCGCCGGTGGCGCCCGGGCCTGTCCAAGCAATAGAGATCGGAGTTTGCGAACACTGGTTCCTTCCAGCTACACGCAAGAGCGACTCTGGGTAAGAGTGACCTTTGGAACGCGGGTTTGGGGGGGCCGCTGAGGGACCAAACACGAGCGCGCAAGACGGTACTACCGCGTCGCGTTCGGTGATCGGGGGACCCCAGTGGGCCCCCACCAAAGGTCACTCCGGCGAAGGGTCGCTCTTACGTGTAGTCGATCCTTCTCCACGGCCGCCTCCAGCATCTCGCGGTGCTCCGTGGCACTCTTGCCGCCCCAGAGGAGGTACGTCATCTCCCTCACAGGGAACGAGGCCCGAGCCCTCTCGGCCTCCAGCGGCGACTGCGCCATGGCAGCCTGCCGAGCGGGAGAGCTGCGCTCTGACGGGCTGCAGAGAGGCCCCGGGGGAGTGCGCGTCCTGAGCCACAGATGAGAACGGAGGGGACCCAGACCCCCTCGATCGCGTAGTGAAACAACTCCGGCGGGAGATTCGTCGCTGTTTTCAGCCTCCGGGGGCCCGTATACTGGGCCTCGGGACCGTCAAAACACGACGCGGGATGAACCACCAGTCCCGGGAAAGGGGTGCAGACCTCAGGGGGCCGACGTCGCGGAAAAATCGCGACGTCGGGGGTCTGGGGGCGCGGCATGTGGGGGCACGGTCGGGGTGCTGGCTCCGGGGGGGGGGGACACGTCGACCTGGAGTCGACGTCGACGATGCCTAGCCGAAGGTTGCCGCGGGCGAGGCCGCACGCTCCCGGACGGGGCGGGCTACCGGGCCCGCAGTCGGCGAGGAGTGGACGACTTGGGGGTCGATGCGTTCCCGCCCGAGCCTACAGCCGGAGCGTTGACCCAAGGAACCCCAAATAAAGGAACGAGGCCCCCAAAAGCCCCCCAAGAGGCCCTGGGGGCCCCCAAGACGCCGCCAAGGAGCCCCAAGAGACTCCCAAGAGGTCCCCAAGAGGCCCCCAAGAGGCCCTAAAGAGGGCTCCAGGGCCGGCGGAATGAGCGAAGCGATTAAATAAAGGAACGAGGCCCATTTCTTCCATAGGTTTAAACTTCGACTTGCCATCGAATACCTGAAAGCCGAAGGCAAAGTGTAACACAACCAAGGAACACTGAACCCCTCCCATAATTAAGGGAACCTGTAAAGCAACTCGGGAAGCTGCCTCCCCCCTGTAATTCACGTTGCTCCCTGCGGCAGCAGTAGCAGCAGCAGTAGGGCGCAGCAGGCACGTGCGGCAAGAGGTCCTGGCATACGAAATCCACGGGCAGGGCACATCCGTCGTCGACCCTAAGCCTGGTAAGGTGCCGCCGCCAGGGCTCCTCTGCGGGCCCATATCGGTAGATGAGCAATGACCATGGAGCGCCGCCCGTTGGCAGGCTACTTCTCTGTCCTGGTGCGCCCACACTGGACCCTGCCATCGCTCGGACGTCCATGCTCCGTGCGCTTCTCGGTTTCGCGCGTGCTTTCTCTTGTCTGGCAAGATGGCCCAGGATGCCCCCCCCGTTGGCAGGCCAACCTCTCTTTCTTGGTGCGCCCACTGCACTTCGCCATCGCTCGGACGTCCATGCTCCGTGCGCTTCTCGGTGTCGTGCGTGATTTTTTCTCGCAAGATGGCCCATGATGCTCCTCGATGGTCCTCGCCGAAGAAAAAAACAAAGCACACGTCCGAGCGTTGCCCAGCATGGGGCGCCCGTTGGCAGGCCAATTCCTCTTCCGTCCGCCCAGAGTCTTATCGGAAATGGTCGGTACACACCTGCTTAGAGGTAACAAACTCTACGCTACGAATATAAATTTCTCTCAAAGCATTTTCTGAGCAGTAGCCTGGGAGGTCCAGATGCGAACCCCTCCTGCGGAACACGACGAGCTCCAAGAAAACGTCCAGGGCCCAGTCCAGATCCTCGATTTTCTGGGGCAAAATATGGAGTCCATGAGAAGTTGTGCCTTTTCTCCAGATGCCTGATGGGTGTGTTGGATGATATGGGAGCGCGCCCGGCGGGTGCCGGTCGCTGGGGCGCGGGAGTTCTCTCTCCCTGCCGACCGCCACGGGGAGGCCTTTGGGGATCTCGGCAGGCGGCGGACATGGATACAGTCGGGCCGCGGAAAGACGGAACGCCAAATAAGGAACGAAGCCCCTTCTTGGCCCTGTAAGCGCCTCCGTGCCCCAGGAGGCTAAGAGGAACAGCGCTGGAGGAACCTGAGGAACATCGAGCCCCTTCCGAACCCAAGCAGTTCCTTATTTCAGCGTCTCGGCTGTACGGAGGGCGTGCGCGAGCGGATGGGAAGCCAAGTGGCCGGCCGACAACTGCAGTTGTTCGGCGCAGGGTGGGACGCACTGTCGTGCCGCCTTTCTTGCGGCGCCCAGCGCAAACCTCGGGAGGCAAAGCAGTCAACTCGTATCGTAGTAAGGATGCGCGGTGAGGATGCAAGGGCCTTCGAGGTCCATGTCAACGTTTTGCAAACGAGGTTGGCCAGCGAAGGTCGCTGAGGATGGGCCCAAGGGGCGAGGATGCGACGGTACCCTTGAGAAGGTTGCCCATCCGTACTATTCGGGCTGATTGTATCTGCCCCCCCAGGGCCCGATACTATGTGTATATATATATATAGAAAAGATGTCCCCCCCAAGATCATACATTGTTTCTTGAATCTTATTCACGTTCATCATCTTCTTATTCATCCTTCCATTCTCTTCTTCTGTCCTCCCCCTTCTCCAAACTTAATTCCTCCTCCTCCTCGTCGCCCATCCTCCACCTCCTCCTCATTATCCTTTCCGTTTCCTCCTCTTTGTCGTAACACGAAAATAAGAATACAGAGTGTTTGGCGCCCTCGATGCAAGGAAACGCTGTTTTTTTTCCTGGTCCTTTGGTGTAGGATGCAAGGAAACACGATCTATGTTTGGTTATTTGGGTTTTTCGGTTTTGGAAGCTCAAGTGCTCCCCGCGGCCTCCCCCTCGATGCAAGGAAACGCTGTGTATTGCTGGTTGTGCTGTTTTCCTGGTATAGGATGCGAGGAAAAACTGCGTATTCTGGGTTATATGTTTTCTGCTGTGGTGCTCCAGAAGAAAAGGATGAGGTGCTGGGGGGAGGCCGCGGGGAGCACTTGAGCTTCCAAAACCCCCCAAAAGCAACATAACAAAAAACAATGTTTCCTTGCATCCTAGACCAAACGAAAACAGAAAACAAAAACAAACATACACAGCGTGTCCTTGCACCGAGGGCGCCAAACACTGTGTATGGTTGGTTTTCTTGCTTTGCAAGAAGGAGGAGGAAAGGAAAGGAGGAGGTGCTGGGGGGGAGGCCGCGGGGAGCACTTGAGCTCCCAAACCCACACAAAAACACAATGTTCCCTTGCATCCTAATCAAAAAACAGGAAAAACAAAGTACACAGCGTTTCCTTGCACCGAGGGCGCCAAACACTCTGTATTCTGGTTGTCGTGTTCCTACAAAGAGGAGGGAACGGAAAGGAGAATGAGGAGGAGGATGGGCGAGGAGGAGGATGGAGGAGGAGGACGTGTGTTTGGAGAAGGGGGAGGACGGAAGAAGAGAAGAGAAGGATTAATCATCATAATAATAAGAATCTGATGCACGTGAATACGATTCAAGATAACATGTATGATCTGATCTGTTTTTTTGGGGGGCAACCATACATATACATACACATATATATATAGACCTGTACAAATGGATATGTATATGTCTATATAACTATTCCTATCCATATCCGTATCCCTATCCATATCCACTGCCTGCCGAGGTCCCCGACTGCAGGGCGCAGGGCCGAACCGCAGGGGGGGGCCCCCGGCCGCCCTCTCGGAGTAGCGCGGACTCCGACAGCAACGGCGGCTCAAGATCGGCATCGGTGCTCCGAGCTGCGTCCAGCCGTGGCGACGAGGGCCCCCCCCCCCCCCCCCGAAGGCCAACCACCCGGGCCTCAGCTCGCCCTCCTCGGGCCTGGCCCGTGGCGTTTTTGCACGTGCAGCTCTTTTGCGGGCGTGCTCCTGCACGCCCTGACGCCGCCCGAGGTGGTGCGGGAGCCGAGGCCGACTACCGTTGTCTCAGCTCGCCCTCCCGTCCCAGACATGCAACGACCTGGTTTGGTCCCTGGAAGTCCCGACCCTTTCCCAGGACCCGTTTTTCATTCGGAATCGTTTTTGACGGTCCCGAGGCCCAGCGAGGGATCCCAGTTACGACGCCAGCATGTCTGGGGTGAGCCCTGTCCAGAGCTGGCAGCGGGGCGCCGTGGCCAACTACCGTTGAATCAACTCGCCCTCCTGCTGTGAACCGGTGGCGAGCCCAGGGGTAAGTGAGAAGGGGCGGGCCTTCTCAGGAGGCTCGGAAGTCCCCTGGCCTTCTGAACAGTTTTCGGAGCCTTCCCCGAAGACGCAGAAAACCTCTCAGAAGGCGCGAGGGCTTCTGAGACGTTCCACCGCCTTCTGAGAAGGCAACCGAAGCCCTTCGATACCACGCAGGGGGTGCACAGCCGACCCGCACAATAAGGACGCACGATGGGGATGCAAGGGCCTTGGAGGACCATGCCGACGCTTTGCGAGCGGGGTGCGGCCAGCGAAAGCGGCCAAGAATGGGCCGAAGGGGAAGGATACAAGGACCACACATGCATACAACGCACACTTTTGGCGTCGCGGCTCTGCGCGCAGCGACAGGGCGGAGAAGGACTCGTCTAGAAGCAGGAAGCGCGCGGACTAGAAGTGCCCGAGCCCTCCAAGACGGCTTTGGGTCTCGCAACCGTCATCAGACATAAGCCATCCAGGCGGATGGCAGAGGGGACGGTGGGTAGACGAACATACGGTGCGGTGAGGGTGACATGAGCAAACTGGGACACACGCACATATGCACACACACGCACACATACACAAAGACACACACACACACACGCACGCACGCACGCACGCACGCACGCACGCACGCACGCACGCACGCACCACACACAAACAAACAAACAAACACACGCACGCACGCACGCACGCACGCACGCACGCACGCACGCACGCACGCACGCACGCACGCACGCACACACGCACACACACACACGCACATCGAGACGAGCAACTAGAGTCTGCTGAAGTAGGTTCCCTCCGAGATTCCTCCTTCGATCCTCCCCCGTGAGCCACGTGCCAGTGCGCGCAGCCAAAAAAGCAGGGCGCGCCTGCTTCACGAACTCCGCGTCCTTGCGCAGGCGGACTTCGCCGTTCCGCAGGGCGTGGCAGTTCCTCGACACGGCCTGCCCGCAACCGTGCTGCATCTCACGTCATCGCGCCAGTCCCGCCAAGCATCC